GTTCCCATGTGACTGTGGGATACCAAGGTACTTGTAGCTGGTCTGTATGTCTGCTATGTGGCCCACTGATAGTTCCACCCCATCAGCCTTAACTACACTCCCTCTCTTTACTACCACCTGGCCACACGTCTCCAATCCAAATGACATCCCAATGTCCTTACTGTAGATCCGTGTCAGTGGATCAGTGAGTCGTTCACTCTTAGCATACAGTCTGATGTCATCCATGTAGAGGAGGTGGCTGATGGTAGTTCCACTCTTTAACTTGTATCCATATTCAGTCCTTGTGATTATCTGGCTGAGGGGGTTCAAGCCTATGCAGAACAGCAGCAGGAACAGTGCATCACCTTGGTATTGCTGTACTTGATGGCCACTTGTGCGAGCTGTCTTGAGTTGACTTCCAGTGTTGTCTTCCATAGTCCCATTGAGTTCTTGAGGAAGGTCCTTAGTGCCCTGCTGACTGGATATATACCAATGCAGCTTTTACAATACCATTCTAACCAAACACAGAACTCTCTTATCCTCCCCTGCCAGGCAGAAACATCCCTACCCTAGTGTTCTGAGGCTGATGCCAGTGGCTCCAAATGTGAATGAGGTGCATAGCCTTCTGTGCACTGCATCTTTGTTTCTTTAGACAAAGGAAGCCACTAATATCATTGAACTTTGAAAAAGAAAAAGTTGAATGATGGTTTACCCAGGAAGGCTACTAAAGTTACCAAATGTTTCCAAAGACATCCGCTAAAAACAGATTACTGTACAGATTCTTGGCATCTGAGATTTTTCATGTAAGACTGTGGAGTAAACTTGATGCACCTGAGGACAAGGGGCAAAGGCTCCTCTTCCAACAATGCTTGGACTCTCGTTGTCATTCGGCAGCTGCTTCTGGACCCGGACTGGAGGCATGGGAATAAAAGTGGCTCCATCAACAAAGCATAAACACTGGGAGGAGAGCAAAAGAGATTGGATTACATATATGGTAAATGAAATTCACATTTTTATTTTATTTATATTTCAATTAACACACAGAACTGCAAACTGTTCATCCAGCCCTTCAAGCTATGCTCTGATTTCTTAACAGAACGTTTGTTTCACAACAGGGAGGTTAGCATTATCCCTTGTTATTTATCCCCACAATTGCTCCTCCCTGCTTTCTTCTCTTCTTAGCCTGTTCTTTCCCAAATCTACAACCCTTCACTTTTTTAAACTTTGAACTTAAGGAATGTGGAGGCAGGGAAGGGGCAATGCAGGAAAGGAAAGATATCCAGGCATATCTCCATGACTTCTCCTTGTAAGCATAATGTTTCTAAAATCATAATTCTTTTCTGGCTTTTAATCATCTTTTCTAATGACATTCTTGAATATTTTAAAGCTTGGCACTACCATATTTTTAAAACTTCAATTGCCCTAAAAATATTGGATACATTCACACTTACACACCCCACACATATATATGCATCAAGGCTTGTTGCATACAATCAGCTTGGCTTTAGATCACCTGCCAAGGCTTAGAGAGTGAACACCTTATATGGCCTTTGCACTTGCTTCTCTTTTTAAATGCTGACCATCCTCTTTGCACAGGAGCTGCCACATTGAAACTTGTCAAAAAAAGGACTCTTTCTTTAAGCATTTGTTGGTTTACTCAAAACATTTTTGTATTCTCCTGAAATGTATCCACTTATTTACCCATAGCAGTCCTGTGACCACCTAAAAGTGATTGACTAGCACAGGATTACCCAGAGATCAGAATGAGAATTTGAATCCAAATATGCCAATCCAACAAATTATCTGCATACTTTAAAATACTGTAAATTTCTACAATTAGTAAGACTTAGCACTAATGCTGTGTCCAACTCCCTACTAAGTACCATGCAAGCTATATTTTTGATGTTAATAATTGCATTAGAGTATACAGTCAGGGTACAAGCAACCCCAGCAAACAATGGTAATTCTGACCCAAATATTTAATGAAAAAACATACTGAAAATTCTTCCCCTTTAAGAAGTTCTTCAATGATAACTGTCTCACAGGAGTCTCCAGAATGGTAACACATGTTGTCCTGCATTATAAATAGGATATCCACTGGTCAAATCTTCTTTCTTTTCATCTTTCCTTTTTTAATGATAAACTATCTTTAAAGCATTTCCAATATAGGCACCGAGGTTCATTCTTCACAGATAAACTTTATGCAGGGCATATTGTACTCATGTGCTATACTGATCAAATCCTTAATAATTTCTTATCTGATAGAATCACAATTCGAATGATAGAATTAGAAACTGAGTTCAACCCCTGCTCCCTGCAGAAAACTGCATTAAAATAACCATAGTATCACATGGGGGACTGTGCACATCAGCATACCTACATATGAATGTGCTACTATATCACATTGGAAAGTCTGGCTGCAAAGTGTTGCGTAGAATCAGTGGTTTGCCTGATGGTCTTCATAGCCAAAAGAAATGCTGCCAAATAACAGTCAGGGATGACTTTTTTTGCCTTCTCTTCCAATTATGTTTTTTAAAAAAAAACAACTTGCTGGTCTTCCTTGCAGTAACAGAAAAGCTACCAGCTTTGTTCCTGAGATGGTAACTTTCCGACAGCAACAAATATTTCCTATGGCAAAGTTTTAAAGCAGTGTTGTCCAAACTTGGCCACTTTAAGATGAGTGGACTTCCCATTGGCTGGGGAATTCTGGGAGTTGAAGTCCACTCATCTTAAACTGGCCAAGTTTGGACAACACTGTTTTAAAGAAAACGTCCTCCACTACATTCTCTTGTGATCCAGTAGGAAGAGGCTGCAGCGCTTGGTGATTCTGAATGCATGGTTAATTGAATTGAGTGCCGCTGTTAGGAAGACGTTTGATTTTAGTCACACAGTAGACAAGCGTTTGCTCTTTGTCAGTCCTGTCTACCTTTTCCAAGCTCCAACCAATATTCATTTTATTAGAATATTCGTATCCTACTTTTGGATTCCACAAGTCAGTGAAGTCAGAAGACAAGACGCTGAAAACAAAGAAACATTTAGCAGAGATCCAATTCTGAATTTCAGTTCAGTATAATGAATATATAAAAAACAAAGCACACACCATAAAATGTATTTTATAATTAATTTTGGGGCCACTGATTCACTAATTCACTTTGATATATAGCAACATAACTTCTTTGAGTTCTGTAGGCTTACTTTTATAAAGCTGTGATATACCAGAATGAATCACATTCTGGATTCACACATTGTTTGAAACCATAATGTGATTTGTTTGTTATTTTCTTAGCATTATGTATGAACACATGGAATACTTTAACACAGAAATGTAAGTCACCTGAAGAATGTCTTGTGCTGCCTTACAGGCATCTGCTCGATTGGATGCAAGAACTATTTCTTTTCTAGGACCAAAACCACTAGGCTTTATGACCAGTGGAGGAAAATCTGCACTTTAAAATAAGATATAGCACATTAGATAAGATATAGTGTTAGAAGAAAATTTACATGATATGATCCAAGTTCTCCTTTTGTAAAAATATAGACTGGAATACTATATATGAGAGTCAAAGACCAGCATGATTCTCAGGGCTCTTACAGTTTGGATCAACTTCATGTGAATGCTTTAATAAGAGTGGATATGCATAGTGGAGTCTTTAAGGTGGAGGGGTGGAAGTCCTAAACCCTTCCTTCCAGAAACTCTTTGAGTTTTTACATTCTGGCCCTGCCTTCTGCTTTGGGTTAGTGGCTTGGAATTTCCTGATGCCACCTGTCATTCCTGGGGTGCTTCATCTGGCATCCTCCCATCAATCCTGATGTGTGGGGAAGAAAGGATTCTCACAGCCCGTGCTGCCTTTTTGGCAAATAGAAGTTAAACATAAGAAAAAATAATGATTTCTAGAATATAACCTCCAGCCATGTAGCATAGAGGCGTACAGCTAAAGGGTTCAGCCTTTCCTTTCCCTCCACCTTGGGAAATAAATCTCACATAAATCAAAATGTATCAAGAAAAGACAAAATATAGGAGCTCCTGGTTTTGTTTAATACTAAAATACAAATGTTCAATGTTAAAAAAAAAAAAAACTTACAGAGGTACCCAATTTCATAGGAAAACAGCAACTTATAACTTGGTTAAAAAAAGAAAAATTCTCCAAAGTGTGTGTAACACTCTGGCTAGACCACAAGATGGTGATGCCCTGCTACAACTGAAAACTCAAGATCTTATAGATCACAAGGAATTCCAAGGAAAAAATACAGTCTAAAGATTCTAACAATAAAGTCATGTACACAAACAGAAGTATACACACAATTCCTCATACAGTACAGAATATAAAGGATCACTTTTATCACTCAATTATTCGTGGACTTCCTCTATCCTGGGAATCCCAATGAATTAACTCTAAGGTTGCTGAAAAGACAGAACTTCATTCTTTTTTTCTAGCCTCATCTACAACTTCTTCCTCTGTTTTGAAAGATGGAAGTCTTGATGTTATTATCTTATGGGGGGGGGCTTAGTTAAACTGCCTCCTATATGACTCAGAACCATGTCCCACTCTTAGAAAATGTTGACTGACATCTGGCATAAGGAGATAATCTGCACTATTGTGAACGCAGGCTACAATTCTCAATAGCATGCTTTTTATGAAGTGATTATAGTAATACATTATTTTGTGTTGACATGTTTTTCATTATTTATAATGCTTTCACACTTTCCCCACACTATTTTATCAAGGAATATTAATACTATTTTCTTTCCACTTCATACATGTCCATGTTGACACATGAATCTACACTTGTCCAATCTGACTCTTTTAGCTATTTAAAAGACCAGCATTAGCTTTTAGGTTCCAACCTGCATGGACTGACCATCCATGGTGAACCTCCAGAACTGGGGTAGAACTTGCTCAGAGATGCAGCAATCTGCTTCAAGAAACTGATCAGGAATGGAGAAAGACTGGTGTGAGGGTGCTTTCCCACTATTGCAGAGCATGACAGTAGCCTCCTTCCTCTAATATTGCCTTCTGATGTGTCATCAGAAGGAATGGTCTTTGTGCTTAATTTTCTCCTTTTAACCAATGAGAACAGATTTTGATAAACTTATTTCAGTAATGTTATGTGAGGTTGATTTATACTATAAGGCATAAAAAAGAGGCAACTTTCTTCACACCTAGAGACTTAAATATGTTTGTAGGGTCCCCCTGTATCAAATCATTTAATTAAAGACACAATCATTGCTCTATGATGATCCTATCTATAGAGCAGGCAATCTTAATACTTCAGTGAAGGAAAAGAAGTATTTACCTGTTAATAAAAGCACATGCTTCTTTAGGATTTGAAAATGCTTTCCATCTTGCTGTGGGAATTCCATGCTGATCAAGAAAGATGTTAGTGAAATATCTATTTGTTCCCAACTGTGCTGCTTTGGCTGTAGGGCCAAAACACTGGATTCCAGCTGCTACCAAGTCATCAACAATTCCTAATAATGAAATACTGAAAGGCTCAGACAAAACTTCTTATGTAATTGAATGTCATATTATTGTACTGTCCCAATCCAGAAAAAAAGAGCATTTAAAAAGTGCATCATTGCTATGAAAAGAGAAGCGTTTGGGAGATTTAACATTATAATGAAGTTGTTGGATATATAATAACAGGTTGATAGCCCATTTTTAAAAGCAACAACATTATTTGCTATCAGTGGCTATATGAACATCCATTAATATACATGTTAATAAATGTAAGAATGGAATGGACACTGAATGGAATTAAGGCAATTTTGCTTATTGGTCTCTTTGGAACAGGTGGCTGACTACCTCTGAATCAGATTAAGTTTAATTCTGCTCCAGCAAAATATTTCTGCTAAGTCATAATGTTTCTTAACCCTACATTTTACCTTTCCTCCAGGAGCCCAAGACAGCATACACAGGAATCTCTTTTCATTTTATCTGAAAACAACCCTTACAGATAGACTTGGTTAAGAGAGAATGATGAGCCTAACATCCACTCAGTAAGTTTCCACAGCTGAACCTGGGTCTCTTTGGTTCTCATCCAATATTTGAACTGCTATCCTGCCCTGGCTCTCTGAATGAGCATCTTTCAAATAAGCTTGTTTGAGAACCTAAGAGTACGGTTTTGCAAACCATTGTTTATGCCAGTGCACATCCAGCCATTGTGGCTTGCTGAACAAACTATGGTTAAACAAATATGGTTTAGCATTGTGGGACAGCCTAGATAATATCTGTGTGAATTCCAATTTCTTTTGTATTCCTGGATATTAGGGTATATATTTATACCAACAATTTCTAGCTTCTGCATGGCTTCAGGAGAAACTGTTCTCTTAACAGTGCTTCCAGATATTCATTCATTCATTCATTCATTCATTCATTCATTCATTCATTCATTCAGCATATTGATATAGCTTCGCTGCCCTTACTCCCACAAGGTAGGCCTTAACAGCAGCTCTTACCAGTGTTCGATCAAGTTCATCACTTGTTGCCCTCCAGCGGTACTCTAGATATCTCTTCTCTCATTTCATCTCTCTCACCTCCTCCATGAACCATGGGGAGTGGTGGGATCCACATTAGAGAGGTTGCATGGGCTTAATCTGATCTAAGGCCTCAGCCAACCTCTCCTGCCAAGTGACAGCTAAGGCTTTATTTGGACTGTGCGGCAGAACTTCAGGAATAACCCCAGCTCCCTCTGGAACCCATCAGGGCCCATCAGTCACTGGGGGTGGACCAATCTAATAGGTCCTACCTCCTGTGGCAAGGGGCAGTGCCAGAGAATCTTATGGTCACCAGAGCATGATCTGACCATGACAGGGGAGACACAAAGAACTCCCCCAATTCCAGATCACATGCCACTGCTCTGACAAGAAAACCAGATCAGGGATGTGACCACTGCCCTGTGTTGGGTCCTGGAATACTTGGAATAGGCCCATGGCTGTCATAGTGGCCATGAACTCCTGAGCCACCTCAGACCCCACCCCTAGGGAAGGCAGATTTAAGCTAAAAGATACCTTGCAGTATCAATTTAAATGATCAGTTATCAATTAAAAGATACTGTAGGCCTAGTCATATTTTTCCTTATTTTTTCCTAGAAAAAAGATGTGGGAAAACACAGGAAGGCTGCAAAAGTAAGATGATATTATGTGGACCCCCTGTAAAATTTCATGAATAGGAATGACAACTACATGACAAAAACTTCATCTGGAAGTATCCTTGAATTCCACAACAGCAAACTACTACAAACCATGTCTAATCCTTGGAATTTCATTCAATCATGATGGATCAACAGTGAGCTCCTTGTCCAAGACTGTATATCATTCTATAGCCCAAGATTGGAGCTTTAATTTTAATCTAAATTCAAGTCCTCAGCTTTGGAGGGTGTTCAGATCTTACCAGCAGCAAGCAAAGCTTCTGGTCCAGCAATCACAAATCCAATGTTATGATCTTTGCAGAACTGGGCAAGTATAGTATGGTTGCTAATTAAAACAGCTGAAATGGATAATAAAAATACATAATTTAATGTCCAGCTACTAAATATCATATATGAAAACTGTGTACTCCCAACAAAAGCAGAAAGAATCATGCAGTTAATGGAAATAATAATTTCAAAAATGTACATAAAGGTTTGGTTGAAGAAATCCTATGGTTGGTTAATTAAGGGAGATTGGGAGGGGAAAAGTTTCCTTTTTTCTACAGCTCTATAAGCCTCTCCAAAGGATAGGGTCCTTCTGACCAATGGGGTGGGACTTGGGGAGTCACTGAGAAGGAACCATCCCTAACGGGAAATAATTGTTTGATTTCAGGCAATCCCCTTGATGTGCCTTCCCTCATTATTCAAAAGAGCTCCCTATAATAAAATTATCATTATCTAAACTACAATGGCTTCAAAATTATGGAATTTATATGTATTCATATGATTATTTACAAAACAATACTGTAAAAAAAATATTTTACTAGACTGATAGATTTTGGAGAGCATTTTTTCCACATAAAAGAATTACCTTTCAAAATACTTGTTTATAATATGGCACAATTTAGGCAAGACAAAATAATAATATTGACTGAATCCCATCTAGTTCTTGGGCTACTCATCAATTATCTCTGAACTGCAAAACTTGAAGTGCCTTAAAGATTCAATACGTGTACATATTTCTAGCAATAATCTTTGTGGCTAGTTCACAGACATTTATTTATATATATATATATATTTCAAATTTAGATACCGCCCATCTCACAAAAAGTGACTCTGGGCGGTTCACAATAA